TTTGATATTTTTTTCAGATTCCAAATATTTAGAAACGAAGGTGGAATGTTTTGTCGAGCTGGGGGGATTAGGCTGGTCCTTTGCAAGCTGAGCTCTCTCCCCACTCAAGTGTAGGCGCCTTGTGACAGATCTTCACGCAGTCAAACTCCAACAGAGACACCTGCCCGTGTCTCATGGCAGGGAAATCCTCTTTGACTCGAGCGTGGCGCTTAGGCTAGGCCAGGCGGTGCTTTCTAGAAGGGGGGGGAAGGCCTGTGGCCCTCTGCCGGATGTAGGGGAGCGGGGCCTATGGCTCAGGGCATGCCTTCTCGCTGGGGGAGGCCCAGCTGCAGCCAGCTCCTGGTGTTTTGGGAGGTAGCCTGGACTAGGGATGAAGGTGGAGGGGCTTCAGCATCGGGGCTTCTAGGGACAGTCAGGCCACTGTCTGAGGGGAAGGGACTGGACATCTGAGGGGAAGGGAGGGGGCTGAGGCGGGGATGGATACTGCTCGGAATTTCCGAGCCCTGGATTGTGGTTTGTTTTTTATTTTTCCGGTAAAGAATGTGCATGAATGTGAGCAAACAGAGAGGTCTGAACACAAGTTTCAGAATTATCCAGACCTGGCTCAGTCTTAGCCTACTCCCTTCCCAGACAGTTCACTTCCCTTCTCCGAAACTCAGCATTTTCACCGTCAAGCTAATAGTGCCTGTTCGGAGATGCTCTTGTAGAGTAGAAATAAAAAAACCACTTGGACTCATGGTCTGTGCTCAATAAGTAATAGCTGTTTCTGCTGCTACCACATACCTTGCAAGCAGAGACTTTGTCTTCTAGAATATATGTAGTTTTAGGCTCAATTAAAATTTCCCTCATCTGGGCAAACTGAACCTTCCTTGAGAGGCTCTCTGACCACTGTCTTCTGACTTGACAGCAAGTTAAGTCCTGGCCTCCAGCCCAGCTCTTCCCCAGAGCACAGGTCAGTAACCGGGAGGACAGGACTGGAGGAGCCCCAGGGATGGAGCTGCCATTCTGCCAGGTCCCGTCCTGGGCATCATGCGAGTGGTAGCTCATGCAGCAGAAGGCCGAGGCCCTCAGGCCTTGGGCTCCATCCAGAGCAGGAGCCATGGAGTAAGGGCTGGCTTCCCCCAGCGCCCCCCACCCCCCCGGGGCCGTGCCTATTGGAAGATGCTGCAGAGCAGCCGGGGAGACTGTACCCCGCTTCTGAGGAGGACGGCCTGCTTTCCAAACACTTGCCGTGTCCTTCCATCTCCAGGCCACAGAGAGGAGGAGAGGTGCTTGGTGGGGCTGGGCGGGCTGGGCTCTGACTTCAGACTTGGTTGGAACCACGTTGTGGAACATCTGTGTGGTCACAGCCCTAAAAATGTTTTCGTCTGGCAGCCACTTTTATAAGGATGTAATAATATATGCATTACAAAAATAGGCCTATTTTTGGTGGGTCAGCATTTCCAGCAAGCTGACCCTGACCAGGTGTGGAGGGAGCCAGCAGGGGTGTGGGCAAGGGGGCCGTGGAAACGTCGGTGTGTGCCAAGGCCTTGGCCCACACCCCTGCCCATGTCTTCCTTCCCTTCCCCGGTCCCTGCCAGGCTTTCCCTTGGGTTCAGATTCTCTGCCATGAGCTTAGGGACCCCTGCTGCCCTCCCGGCGAGTCCGTCTTCTAGAGGAGACCAGGCCTCCTCACTTTCCCCCCTACCTGCCCCCACACCCACCCCAGACCTCTTCGGTGGTTTCACCACTTCGATTCATTGGAAGGTTGATTCTGGAGCACAAAGATGATTTCCATGAGGTTGGATTGCTGATGTGACTTTACTTACCCTGATGGCCCAGACCCCTTTGCCAGCAGCCTGGGCCTCACTTTGGGCTGTTGAGTACTCATTTAAAATGGGGCCCTCGGTGGGGCGCCTGGTTGGCCTAGTCAGTTAAGCGTCCAACTCCTGGTTTTGGTTCATGTGGTGATCTCAGGGTCGTGGGATCAAGCCCCATGGCGGGCTCTGCACTCAGCACAGAGTCTGCTTGGGATTCTGTCTCCCTCTGCCTCTGCCCTTCCCACTCGTGTGTGTATGCTCTCGCTCTCTCTCAAATAAATCTTTAAAAAATAAACGAAAAGTAAAATAAAATGGGCCCTCCATGAGCTCAGGGCCTCGTCGCTTCCCTGAGGTTGCCAGGAGCCTGCCCCCTGCACTGAGCTGGGGAAGACGAGAGACTGCTCGTTGTGGGAGGACAGGATTCGTCTGGGTCAGACCACCTCCCCACCCCCCCCACCGGCTTCTCCCTGCCCAGAAGAGCGGCTCTCTGAGCTGACCTCCGTCTGGGCACAGGAACCATTTCCACGTGGGGGGAAAGAGCACACAGTCCGAGTGTATTGGTGTCCAAAAATCCCTTTTAAAAATGGGTAGATGGTGGGGGCGCCTGGGTGGCTCAGTCAGTTAAGCGGCTGCCTTCGGCTCAGGTCATGATCCCAGGGTCCTGGGATCGAGGCCTCCATCGGGCTCCCTGCTCAGTGGGGAGCCTGCTTCTCCCTCTCCTCCCCACTCAGTGTTCTCACTCACTATCTCTGTCTCGCTCTCAAATAAATAAAATCTTAAAAAAAAAAAAATGGGTAGATGGCGCACCATCCTTCCTCCTAAGTGTGCTCCCAGCTTCTCTCCAGCATGCACACACTCCGGTCGTCTTGGCAGCAGGGGTTGGCCAAGGGCAGATGTTCCAACAAATACTGTGGGGGATGGCCCAGGGTGGGGTATTTAGGAAACCTGAAGTGATGGGGAGTAGCTATCCCTTCTAAGTTCAGGAGCACTCTCACTGCTGTTTTGTAGGGACCCGGGTAGTCCCTGAGGATCGAGACTTCCCGGGAACGTTGGCCCAAGGGTGCCGGGAGCAGGGCACATACCCCGTTCTTGCCCATGTCTTGGGGTCATGGGCCTCTTCAAACCCGGCACCTAAAGTGAATCCAGCCCTGCAGATGTGGCTGGGCCGGGCGGAGCAGAGGAGCTGGCACCTTCCTGAGCCCTGCCGCTGGTGGGGCCGGGTGGGAACGCTGCCCCCTGCTGGGCACCGGTAACCGGTCCTGTCCCTGAAGTTGTGTGAAAGCTGTTGGGGCTGCACGTCACATTCTCTTCAGAACCACGCGTGTCTTCACAGGACTTGGTTCCTGTTTTGTACTCGGTGAGCTTCATGTTTGAGCCCCAGAGTGTGATTTGCACTCGCCCCAGCCACCTGAGGCAGGAAGAGCAAATGTGCCGTGATCTGGGCAGAGGATGTCTTTGAGCCTCCATGTCCTTGGGTTGAAAACAGAGTTCTTCTAGAGGCGGAGTAGAACAGGCAACCGTGCACTTGGCCGTGTGCTCCGCAGCAGCCCACGTTCCTGGACTCTGATCGTCTGGACCCTCGCTGCTGTCACCAGGATGCTGAGAAGGCTCACGGCTGTGCTTTCTCTTAAGTCCCACACAGGCTGGCTCGGGGCCAGGCAGGAAGCCTGCAGGACGCCAAAGAGGCCACCCCGGGAACCCGGCACCCCGGTCATGGCCACAGGGGATTTGGTGGGAACCTGCCAGTGGTGTGTGGAGAACCCCTAGAGGAGTTCTCTGCTCCCAGCATCCCCATCAGAATAGGAAATTAGGGGTTCTCGTGGGACTTATTCACGATGAGCCCATGTGGATTCCTAGATTAGAGATAGCTGATTTTAGATGTGCCAACAGATGAGTTTTAAACAGTCCCATCAAAACTTGTGTGGCTCACTGTCAGATTCACGTTTAATTTCCGACTCTCATCTTCCTTGTTTCGTGAAAGTGGGGTCAGCCTCCGCCCTCTTCAGGCATTCGGGCTCCTGAGCACGCAGTCACTTTTCAGGGATGGCTGACTGCTCCACGGAATCGGACTTGTGAAAGTGACTTGGGTCTCTCCTACCATCTGCTCGCCCATTTGGGGCCTCATCTCGCTCTTAACTGGGTCTTTTCTACCGTTTGTGGCCTCATGGTCATTCTCCCTGATGGAGAAGCGGCAGCAAAGCCTTTGACCTCTGGGCCACTGCCGCGCTCTCCGAGCAGCCGCCCAGGTCTCCAGCCTCTGAAGCCCATTCACCTCCCTGCCTCACCCGTGCTTTCTCTATGTGTCTCAAGTCCTGAGCTTTGGCTGTCCCGATACTGCGTTCCTAGCTTTTCATCCTGTCTCACGATGACCTGTTCCAGTGTCCATGTTTCATTTCAACCACAGTTCCATTCTGAAACAGCGAGTATTTGTGTGCTCACCACTCTCCTGGGCACCCCACAGGGTGTGGACAGCGGAACCTCTCCTTAAGGGATCGACCCTCTTGTGAGGGAAATGAGCCTGATGCAGAGGGAGAGGCGGGGTGGTCCGCGCCTCCTGCGTAAGGGCGCAGGTCAGGAGTCCTTGTCCCTCTACCCCGCCCCACCTGCCACCTCCTTTTAATACTTTCAGTAAAACTCGACCAGAACTTTAACAGTTACGACCCTGCCCGAGGCTCGGATTGCTGGGTTCCCCTCGGTCACAGTCTAGGAATCTGGGTTCAGATTCTCTTGCTCAAACCGTGCAGGCTGCGCGGTAAGAAGGCTCTGGTCCGGGTTCTGCCCGCACTGCCCGCGGCACCTCCCGTCTGAGCCTCAGGCCCCCGTGTCAGGATCGCAGGGCAGCTGGGGCACAGTGGACGCCCCCCTGCAGTATGGGGGGTGGACAGCCCGAGCCCGTGCCTGGCCAGGGTGGTCCCCTTTGCCCTCCCCGCTGCGGCTTTGGGGCTGGCAGGGGCGTGCTCCGCTCAGGGCAGCAGGAGACCCTCCTCCGGGAACGGGGCCTCTGGGCCTCTGCCGGCTGAGCGGTTTGGGCCCTACAGCTGCGGTCCCTGCGTGCTGGGGTCCCCTGCTGGCCAGGCGGCCTTGTACCACCTGCAGCTGGCTGCGCAGCTGGCGGCGGGAGCACCAAGCTGGGGGCAGGGGCTGCCGTTCGCGCCGAGCGCCCGGCCCTCTGACGTGGGGGAGCATCCTTCTCTTTGGCAGATGGAGAAGGATGAGACCGTGAGTGACTGCTCCCCGCACATAGCCAATATCGGGCGCCTGGTAGAGGTGAGTGGGGCTTGGGGCTCTGGGCTCGGGGCGGCTCCCGCAGCACATGCCGGTCCTGCATCGCCTCTGTCATGTTTCTTGGGTTTTGCCCTGTTGCCCCGGGCTCGTGCTCTGAGCCTTCTGATGGGCATGCAAGCAGGGCTCAGCTCCCAGGCCGCCCCCTCTCCTGCCCCCCACAGTGCGCGCTCCCGGAAGCCTGCTCCCCCAGCCCACGGGGTGCCAGCAGAGGCCTGAGCTCAGGAAGGAAGCACCCCTACAAGGCCATGGGCTGTTTGCAGCTGCCTCTGCCTTCCCTTTGCCACGCTCTTTGGAAGAAGGGGTGCTGCGCTCTCGGGCTTCACAGGATTGTGCCCGAAATTGGTGGGGGAACAGCGGGTGGTGATGTGGTTTAGACCGGCTCCCATCATGGTCAGCATTGGCCGCCAGTCCCTGAGTATTGGCTTCCCAGTGCCTGAAGCCTGGGAAGCGCTCAGAATGCAAATTGTAGTGGGGGTGTCGGCCGTGGGGACTGGCTCACTGGGCTTTGGCGCGGTCCTGCGCCTCCCCCCTGTGGTCGCGGCGGGGACTGCAGGGGTGGGCTGGTGGGACAGGGGAGGTTGTGGGCCTCAGGCCTCCTGTTTGTCATCCTGACTGATCTCCCTTCTCAGGACATGGAAAATAAAATCAGAAGTACGCTGAATGAGATCTACTTTGGAAAAACAAAGGACATCGTCAATGGGCTGAGGTAATGTACCCCAAAGCCTGAGCTTCGGAACCAGAAGATACAGATTTGAATCCTAGGTGTGCGGCGTGATAGTCACAAGGCACCTCAGGTTCCTCATCGGTGCCCCTGGCTAAAGTACCCACCTTGTGGGATCGTTACTGCAGATTCTGAAAGGTCACACAGCTCCTGCATAGACGCTGGTTCCTGCCCTGCTGTTCTTGTTTTCTGGGGGACGCTCACTTGGACAGCCATCAGTGCCCTCGTCCCTGGAGCCCCCTCCTCTCCGTCCCCCACCGGCCCATTCCCATCTAAAGCATCTGCCTGGACCTCACAGCACGTAAAGGATGGCAGCCCCTCGGGCGGCCTGTTCCCCTCTGCAGCCCCCGGTTCGTTCGTCTGGTGGCCATGGCCATGGTCCCCAGCTGCCCCTCCCCACCCATCTTGTGCTCTCGGTTCTGCAGCGTTGGCCCAAATGAAGGCTGAGAAGGGCTCTCTGGCTCTTCAGAGTCCACGGGGGTACAGAGCAGGAGGCCAGAGGCCCCTCAGGGGGCAGGAGAGGTGGCTGTGGCATGAGCCCTGGCCGTGGATTCAGAAAACAAGGGAGTTCGTACGGGTGCTGCCCCCCTGAGCTGCACGAGCTTTGGCCAGGGGCTCCTGTCTGTGGCCCTCATCCAGTCAGGGAGGCAGGGGTCAGGTGGGATAGTGTCTGCCCGACCACTCTGTGAGGCCAAGGTCTGGTGCTCCACCCTCAGCCTCCAGCCCCCTGAGCCCCCGGTCCCTGGGTCGTTCTCCTTGTGGGCCAAAAGCAGAGGCAGGGAGCCGCTCTGGGGGCTCCCCTGACTTGTAAATTCCCCCAGGAGAGCGATTTCTAGGCTCCTCCTCCTTACAGTTTAAAATAGCGAGGAGCCCCCTCTGGATCTTCAGCTTTCCAATTTCCCACCCGCCCGTGGGGAACTCGGTCTGGCCCCTGGTGGGTTTTATTCCCCGGTTCTGGCAACATCGCTGTCGTCTGGTCACGTGGGGCCAGCGCCTTGTCCTCCGCGAGCACACTCGCGCAGGGGGGCGGCGCTTGTGAGTGCCTCCAGCATCGAGCTCCGTGGCTCCCCGCTCTGTGCCGCTGCCCCGGAGTGCAGGGGCCCTGACCACACTGCTCCATCCCCGCGTCTCCAGCGGCCACCTGCTCCTCGGTGTGTCGCCCCCCTCCCGCCGCACTCATCTCTGACCACTCTCTGTAGATCTGTTGACGTAATCCCCGACCACCCCAAGTTTCAGCAGCTGCAGAGGGAACTTTCCCAAGTGCTGACCCAGCGCCAGATCCACATCCAGCCTGATAACTAAGCCGACGCAGGTACCCTGCCTGAGAGGCGTGAGCACCCTCCCCACTAAACAGGACTCACCAACCCGCCGCCACCCCTGGACCAGCCGTGGCCACGCGGCCCTTTAAACCACCACTAACCCCGTGTGCCGGCTCACGGCTGTGGGCGGCCACGTTAACGTGTCCCTTCGGCCCCGTGTAACACAGACCCGTGTCACGTGTGTGCTCTGTGTGTCTTGCACTCCGGGCAGGGTTGGGTGTGGGGCAGAGAGAGGGTTTGGCTCTGGCTCTGGAAGAAGCCCGGTCTGGGGATTAACCCTGCCTCTCCAGCAGAAGCCGCTTGTCTGCACCGCTGGGCTGTGTGCCCGGCCTTCCTCGTGGCCACTGCCCCCGGGCAGCCTCTCGGAGTCCACTGTCTGTGTGGCCGGGGCTTCCCCCACCCCCCCCCCGAGCATCCCAGAGGCCACAGAAGCCTTCTTGGTGGGAAATGGACTGTTGGGGGCCATGACTTTTGAAAGGGGTGTATCGCCCCGAGCCCGAGGCTAGAGCACAGAGCAGAGGCTGAAATCCCCCTGGCCGGGCTTGCTGCTTGGACCCGCATAACCTTCTGCCCCTAACACGCTGCGGCCGTTCTCTTAAACGCCTCACGCTGACGGAAGGGAAATAGTCTTGCTTGTTGAGAATAGCCAAGAACCGCAACTTGAGTGTGGACAGATACATGTGTATGAAAGCGGTCAGTGTCCCAGGAGGGGAGGGAAACTATTTTTAATCGAAGGCGCTTGGAGAGCTGGCAGGGCAGGGCTGCAGAGCCCAGGGCTAAGGGATTTATGCCCAGGCCCAGGGACTGGCCCCTGGGGGCCTGGCCCCGAAGAGGCTCAGCGGGATTTCTGGGGCGGGGTGGGGTGGGGGCATTCATGGAACCAGGCTGCCCAGCTACTCTGCATTCATGGGACTTCAGCACGTCTGTCTGGCCTCACACTGGGACCATCACATTCCCATCACAGCGGGAGAAAACCTCCTTTTTAAGGCATGCCACGATAGTGCAGTTTTCCTCCCAGCCCCTCCGCTTTTTGGGGAGAGGGGGGTCCTGAAGTCTTCTAGATCCCTGTCCCGTGGCCACCATTGGAGACTTTCCGGCATAAACCACCCCCCCACACACACAGCAGTGGGGAGCTGGCACTCCAGAGGTCCAGGATGTGTCTTCCTTCCCACACTGGTTTGACATGGCTTGGCAGTGACCTTTCCAAACTCTGTCACCTAAATGAGTGTCTCGGTCCTCATACCTCCAAGTCATTCTAAGCCCAGTCTCCCATCTCTTACCTGATTCTCACTCTGGTTCTAACTCTGGAAATTTCTCCCTTGTGGGGGTTGAGGGCTGAGCACAGCTGTGCTCGGCTCCTCCTTCCCAGAAGAGCCAGCACCCTCGCAGGCCGGGCAGTCTCCCGCCGGGAGCTTTTTCAGAAGCAAGTGGTGGACTGGCGAAGGATGGAAGCCAAGGGCCACCGGGGCAGGTGTTCAGAAATGTTCAACCAGAAAGGACGGCACTTGCGAGAGTTTCTAGTGGCTCAGGGATGCTCTTGTCTGCACCCCCCTCAGAACGTTGGGAGGCCACTTCCCATGAGGTTTCTGGGATTCAGTAGCCAGAACTCGGGATGTTCTTCTGGGTACTGCTTCTTGTTACTTTACCCATTTGGGGAAGTTGAGGATTATGTTTTGGCTCCTCCTTACCATCTTTCTTCATGGCCGATGCACATGGAGCTGGGGATTCCCGTGGGGCCTGGTGTCCACAGCTTTCCTGCCGGGCAGCCCTCACCCCTTCTGTCCGCTGCTTCGGAACTGTTGGAAAGTTTATGAGTAGTTTAATAAGTCCTTGGTTGGTCGACATAATGGTCAGTTTGACAGAGTGACCGTTCGGCCATTGTCAGGGGGCATTTCCCTGAGCCTCCGTGTCCTCGTCTGAGAACTGGGGACACCGGTAAGACCCCCTCCGGGATGCTGAGAGAGGGAGAGGAGAAATGTGTGGGAAGCACCTTGTAAACCGGCCTCTGCGGAGCTCGGTGGCTGCTCGCTGCGCTGAGGAGTGTTCATGCCCGGGCACAAGCGCGCGCACGGCAGCGTGTCCCCACAGACCCAGGATTTGACGGGAGGGACCCAGGGCCTCTTATCTCAGTCCCATACTGCCTCTTGAAATCCAGGCCGAGGGAGTTTCTCGGCCAAGTTCACAGCTGATGGTGTCGCACGGCAGAAGACTCAAAGCGCCTGCCCTTCAGGCACTGCCCTGGATGTGAACCCAGTCTGCTCAGCTGTCCAGAGGGTCTTAAACGTTCGCTGAGTGGGGTCCCTCTGCACCCTGCACTTGGGGGGTGAGCGGCGGGCCACCTCTGCTGGGCAGGGGTGCAGTGAGGGGGAAGCCCAGGAGCCACCCCCTGCTTCAGGCCCCAGAGG